GAAAAGAAAAGAAAAGAAAAGAAAAGAAAAGAAAAGAAAAGAAAAGAGAAAAGAAAAGAAAAAAAGAAAGCACTCACTGTGCCGTATGCTGACCTGGGCGGCTCCGTGCCTCATACACTGTGCCAGGTTCCACTCCCCTCTCCCCGGGGTGCCTCTTCTCTCCAGTCCCACCTTCTCTTCGCCTCACCCCTCTCCAGTACTGGTCATCCCTTGTCCTCCACACTGTCCCACTCCTGACTGATGGCCCCTCGCCAGGCCCTCAGGCTCCCTTGCTCCAGGTCTTCATGCTCGAACCCCCTGGAATGTACTTGTTCACGGCTCTGATCGCCAGTCACTAAGTCATGCAGATTCTGTGGCAGAAGCCTCTCCTGAGTATCTTTCTCCCCAGTCCCCAGGTCAGCAAACAAGTGCAACTGCAAGAAAAATCTTGCTTTTTAGCCTGGTCCCAGCTCCTGCTCACCTCTAGCTGGTAGCAGATGCCCAACAGATCTCAAGTCTAGTCTCCTGCGTGGGTCACATCTTCCGACAGAGCTGGTCAAATACCCCTGCTTCTGTTAGAGACCTGTCTATGGCTCCTCAGTGCCTACCCGGCAAACCTCAAGCCCTCCTGCAGGGATCTGTGGCCTTCCCAGATTGCTGTGTGTGTTCTTCTAGGGCCCTTTACCTAGTGGTCTATGTTTCACTCAGGTGGAACTGATGACCATTCCCTAGACAGGACCAACCTGGTTGAAATCTTTCCCATCCTTCAAAGCCAGTTTGAACCTCTTCCTCCAGGAAACCTCCCAGGTCTCCTCTTTGTCTTCCTCCCATACTATTTTGGAATAACAGTAACCAGTGTTTACTGTACACTAACATGCAAGGCCTTCTTCTGTATTATCTCGTTTAATCCATACATCACGCTTAGGAGGTAGGTGCTGTTATTATGCAGTTTTCACAGATGAAGAAACTAAGGCACAGAGAGGCGGAGCAAGCACCGACGCCACACTGTGCCCATTTTCATCCTTTCTATGAAACAAGGCTCCCTGTGCTTGAAAATCTACCCCCACAACATTTCCTACTCCACTATTCCCTCTGTTTCTACTAGACTTCCTACTCATGATAGGATCTTGAGGGAAGCACAACTATCTCCTCTCCAAGCCACATTTCCCAGTGGATCAGCAGCCAGGATGGGTTAGGTGGTCCCTCGGGACTTCTTCCAACCTAGTCTCGATCACCATGGAACATGGGACCCAAGTCCGAGTGTCACTGGAGCCCAGCACGAAACCCACAGAGGCTTCACATGGTGTTTGCTGAGTGAATGAATGAATGAACGGGACCAGCCTGCCCCACCCTGGAACTCCCTTACCACCTAGCCGTCTCCCCCACAGCAGCCACCCAAGCTATGGCCCCTGAATGTTGACAGCACTTTCTAAGTGCAAGGTCACTGGCCTTGGTGGGACTCTCCATCTCCTGCTAAGACTCCCCCCAGGAAGGCAGGGCTAGGCCCCTGCCCAGATCCCCGTTTCCACCTCACCCTCACCGGAGCCCCTGCTCTGTTTTCTGCCGAGATGTAACTGCCATAGAAAGGGGTAGATAACTAGGCACCATGTCAGCTTTGTCCAGCTTTGCTGCTTTATAGTCATGACACTTTGAGAAAATCACTTTGTCCCTCAGAGCCTCAGTTTACTCATCTGCAAAATATGGCTTTGATGTACACACCCTGTCTCCTTAGCAGGCTTTTTTACATTTTCTGAAGCATAAAATGTCAACGACAGTTCACTCTTTCAACAAATGTTTATTGCACATTTACTGTGTCCTACATACTATCTTGTTAAAATTTCCGCCTTCACAGTAACCGGTTGAGGTAGCTATTTTTAATCTTTATTTTACAGATGAGGGAGCTGAGGCTCAGGGACAGCATGTGACTTGCCAGCTGGCCTGGGGACAAGTTGCGGAGACTAGATCTGTGCTTCGGTACTCTTTCTACCCACGTCACTTCCCAGGCTCACTGCTGCTGTCAATTAGCCGGGGCTTGACCATGCCCTGGGTCCCGGGGCCCCCTCCCCAGGCCTTAGTCCCCTCAGCCTTTGCCTCTGATGTAGAGCAGCAGCAAGGGGTAAGTTTCTGAGACCACCGTAAAACCTCAATGAGATTAACACTTTGAGAAAGGTCCGGCATCTCACTCTACTCTTTTTTTTTTTTTTTTTTTTTTAGAAAGACTGGGGCGAGTAGGGTCAAATTTAATCTATTTGTATCTTTACAGGCACTTTTCTTTTTACAAGTTTTGAAACTTGAGGGATCCTTGAGGGAAGCCCAAGGGATTAATTTTGGTTCCCAAATCCCTGCCACGGGAGCCCCCCTCAGGGCTCAGACAGTCCAAGTTCAGGCTCAACTCCAGCCTGCACGAGGGGCTCACCCGCACTCCTCAAAGATGTCTGGGTAGTGTCGGAACAGCACAGGTGGGTCCCGGTCACCCCTCACGGGAGCCCGAGGCACAGCCCGTATGCCGGGCCTCCGGCCCCGCCGCCCCCCAGAGCAGGAGCGGTGGATCCACTGGTGTGCCTCCACAGCGAACTTCCTCTTAAAGCGCATGCCACACTCGGGGCAGGGGAAGGGCCTTTCCCCTGAGTGCATCCGCCTGTGGCTGACCAGCAGGGAGGGGTAGGTGAAGCGGCGGCCACAGTCTGCACACACGTGACGCCGCTGGCTGTCCTGAGTGTCCACGCTGGGCGCTGGGGCTGAGGACTGCACGCCTGTGTTCTGGTTCCAGGCAGCACTGGTGGCCGGCTGTGCTCTGCTGGAAACTTTTCTGACGGTCCAGTCAGGGTTGTGTTTAACCAGCTCTTTCGAAGGCTCCTTGCCGGGAGTCTTTCTGGGTCCCTTGGCTCCCAGCCCTTCCTCCCGTGCTGCTTTCTTCTTGTTTGGGGTGTCTCCTGGGAAATGGAAAGTAAGATACACTTTATTTTATTTTTTAAAGATTTTACTTATTTATTTGACAGAGAGAGAGCACAAGTGAGGGGAGCAGCAGGGAGAGGGAGAAGGAGGCTCCCTGCTGAGCAGGGAGACTGATATGGGACTCCATCCCAGGGCCTCGGGATCATGACCTGAGCCAAGGGCAGCTCAGCTGACTGAGCCACCCAGGCGCCCCAAGATACATTTCACTCATTTATTTTGTAAGATTTTATTTATTTATGACAGAGAGAGAGAGAGTGAGCGAGAGAGGGAACACAAGCATGGGGGAGCTGGAGAGGGAGAAGGAGGCTCCCTGTGAGCCTGATACAGGGGGCTGGGATCATGACTTGAGCCGAAGGCAGACGCTTCACGACTGAGCCACCCAGGTGCCCCCCACCCCCAAGATACATTTAAAAACACATTTGCTTCCATCCTCTCAGGTTATAGGGTTCTTATAGTTAGGGAAGCAGCAGGAAAGTGCTCCCCAGCGATTGACACACAGGCTTTGAAGGATGATAAACAAATTTCACATCTCCTAAGAGTGACTTATCTGGGCCTTGCCTCTCATGTTTCAAATGGGAATCAATGGTTTCTTCATTTCACAGGGTTGTTGGGAGGATTAAATCAGGAGAAGCATGTTAGGCATTTAGTAAATGCTCAATAAAACAATAGCTATTACTATTGTGTTTGCTCGATTTTTTATAGGATAAAATTTTTACAGATGAGGAAACATCTTTGCTCAAGGTTACTCTGCTAAGGGATGGTGAGGGGAGAAGAGCCACGTTGTTGATTACTGGGCATTTTCTCTTGTACCACTTTGCCTTGCTTGAGGAATGTGAAAGGCAGACCTGAAGCCCCTTGCATTCCTAGGTTTTAATCGTTCCTGAAAGGGGAGAATGAGTGGTGTTTTCTCCAAGAGGGCCCTAGAAACCTGAGTCTGGGACTTGGGGTCCTGATTCTCCCACTCTAGTCCTAAAATGAGTAACGTCCCAAGTTCTGAAACCTTGTACCAGGTCTGCCTTCTTTCTCCTTTAGTATCCAACATGGGGGGGGGAGGGTCTTTAATTCCTTTAGGGCTGCTGGAAGTGGGGATCTAAAGGAAAACTTCGTGAGACAGGAAGCCCTGGAGCGCCAAGTGGGGGGAGACTTGGGACAATCCCTCACCTCTCAGAGCTCCTCCCAGGCTTTCCCCCTCCTCAGGATCCTGGGCGGCGGGGCTCCAAGCCTCACTCTCCTGTTCCATCCAAGAGATGAGGGCTGGTTTGGGGCCTGGGAATCCTGGGAGAGAACAGGGATCACAGTGCTGGCTTGAGAGGCTGTCCTGGGCAGATGGCATCCCCCTGCCAGGGTAAGGACACCTCCTCAGAACTTAGGCTCAACGTGGACAGGGTCTACAATGCTCCTGCCTGAAGGAAGCGGATGCTGGGTGGAAGCACTCCCTAACCTGAAGCCCTGGGAGTGGAGGTGGCTGGTGCTGTTGGTGGGATAGTGTGGGATTAGGGCTCACAATCCTCTCGGTCTTCATGTCATCTCCCCTGTGAACCCCAGTGAAGGAGGAGGGGGGCTCTGACCCGGGGCCTCACCGAGCGCGCCCAGGTGGCCGTAGGTCTCCCGCATCACGTCCCGGTACAGGGCCCTCTGCGCGGGCCGCAGACAGCCCCACTCCTCCGGGGAGAAGTACACGGCTACGTCCGCGAAGCTCACGGCCCCGGGCTTCTTGTAACCATGCCCGGTCTCCCCCGGTCTCAGCGCCAGAAGCGGGGCTGGGGGCGGCGCCATGGGGCCTCCCGGCCCCGAGCAGTGGCCGTCCTGTCCCGGAGGCCACCGCCTCCCTGCGCGCGGCCTCAGCTTTCGTCGTCCGCAGAAAGGGCTCCGGAGGTCGGGGCCTCGCCCAGCCTTGGCGTCCGAACGCTGTCGAGGGCACCGAGGTAGCTGGTAGCTAGGGATTCGGGGGTTGTGATGGGGACAAACAAAATCCCTCGGTGTTTATTCACTTCATGGCACCTTGGATTTAGCCGGGTTAAGGGACCCGGAAGGTGTCTTCAGAAAATATGGCGACATCCTGGCTTCAGTTGTCAATGGATGCTCTTAAGGGCGCCATTCCTTGATCATAACAAACATGGCGCCTGCCTGCCTTCTCTAGCCTCAGCAGCCGCTTGCCCTCAACTACAATGGCCGCTGCAGGTGGGGGTTTTAGGTGAGGCGGAGACGGAAAACAGAGAAGTGGACTGGGGGGCGGAACGTTCCTGCCTTCAAGAAAGATGGACGAGCAGTGGCTTCCAGTACCGTTCTTTGCCCGCGCTGCCCGGCGGCCGGTGATTGGCCCACAGAGCAGGAAGAGGCTGCACCGCCAGGCCCCCGGGTGGGCGGGCCGTCGGAAAGCGCACCTTGGTCACCTGGCTCTGGAATCCCTGGAGACCCTCTTTATCTGTGGAACTCAGCATTGTGCAGTCGACGATCTCCCTCTCTGCCTCCGAACGGCAGGATCTGGAATCGGGCCCCTACCCCTGCGAGAGAAGCACGGACCCTCTCCAAACCCTGGGGACAGCTGAGGTAGAAACCAGGTACACGTTTACCGTTGGGACCACGGCTGCGGAGCGCGCCCAACTCCTTGCACCCGCGGGACGGCTCTCAGTCTCTGGACTGAAGCTTATGGGGAGGAACTTTGGTTCATGCGGTTAGAATCGGAGTGGGGAAATTATATCTTATATTTTAATTTTCTGCAAGTTAATATGCATGGTTTTTTAAAAGGAGTACAAAGGTTTATAATGAAAAAGGCAGCCCCCTGTACCCTTCACCTTTGTTCCCTAGAGACCACTTTGTTGAACTCGTTTTATGAATCCGAGTTACACCATACAAACAGTAAAATGCACAGTTCTTCAGTGCAAAATTGGCTGAATTTTGATGAACGCATACAACCGTGTTAACCATCCCCCAAAACAAAATATAGAGCATCGATCCCTGCATGTTTCGTTGTGCACACTTTTAAGTCATTACACAATTTTTGACTGTGGTAAAATACAGGTAACAAAAATTAACCATTTTATATATTACAGTTCAGTGGCATTTAGGACATTAACAATATGCAACCATCATCACTACTTTCATCGCCCCTAAAGGAAAGCCCCTACCCTTAGAACAGCCACTCCCCCATTCTTCCCTGCCTCCCTTCCTTGACAATCGCGAAGCTTTCTGTCTCTGTGAATTTACTTTTTCTGGATATTTCCCATAAATGGAATCATGCAATATGTGGCCTTTTGTGTCTGGTTCCTGACAGCAGAATGTTTTCAAGATTCATCGATGTAGCGTTACAGGTAAGGTAAGCATTACCTTACTACTTTTTTTTATTATGGTTGAGTAATATTCCATTGTACAGATACAGGTTTCTCCTGCTATCCTAAAGTAGAACATTTCTATGAAACATAAGCTGAAATGATGTAAAGCAAGAAGGCAGTTACCATTAATTTATAGGGAAATTTTTTTGAGCATTCCCAGACCCTATAACTAAGCTCTCTTAGGCTCTACTGATGCCTTAGAACACATCTTGCTAATAGATGCACAAAATAAATGTAGAATAAACACAGATGCTCACATAGTTCAAAGCTATAGTAGCTTGATGCTGAAAGGCTGAGTTTAGGTCCCTGGGAAGGACCTTGATGGGGCCACTCCTGCTGCTCGGCCTGTGAGCTGCATCTAAAAGCAAAAATCCTCTTCAGATTTATTTTGGTTAGTGAAACAGGTACTAATGTAGGTTTTCCTTAAAGCAAAGTAGCCTAATGGGAACTTTCGAAAAACGGGATACCTGGGGCGCCTGGGTGATGCAGTCGGTTGAGAGCATCTGAATCTTGGTTTGGCTCAGGTCTGATCTCCGGGTCGTGGGATGGAGCCCTGTGTCATCCAGCCCCGTGCTCAGTCTGCTTGTGTTTCTCTCTCTCTGCCCCTACCTCCTCTGCTCTTTCCCTCTCTCTCTGAAATAAATAAATATTTTTTTTTAAAGTAAGGGGACACCTGTATGCTATATTTTATCTATCCATTTGTCAGTTGATGGAAAGTGGAGTCGTTTTTACCTTTCATGTTGCTGTGAACATTCGTGTAAGGCATTTTGTTTAACCGCTTTGAGATAAAATTCACTCATTAGATAACTCACGTATTTAAATTGTACAGTTCAGTGGGTTTGGATATATATGTTATTTTTTTAAATTGCAGTAAAATTACACAAGACTTAAAATTTGCCATTTTAATCATTTTTTAATCATTTTTAAGTTTACAGTTTAGTGGCATTAATTACATTCACAATGCCGTGCATCTGTCACCACTATTTCCAAAACATTTTCACCACTGCAGAAGGAAATTGAGACTCCACAAGGTGGTCGCTGCTCATACTTTTCCCCAGCTCTTGGTAATTTCCAACCTGCTTTATGTGCCTGTGAATTTCCCTATTCTAGGTACCTACCTCATGTAAGTGGAACTGTGTAACGCCTGTTGTTGGTGTCTGACTTATTTCACTGCCATCTTAACCATTTTTAAATATACTGCTCAGTGGTATTAAGGACATTCACATTGCTATGCAAACATCACCACCATCCTCTCTAAAATTTTTTCATCTTTACAAACCAGATCAGTACACTTTTTTTTTTTTAAGATTTTATTTATTTATTTGGCAGACAGAGATCACAAGTAGGCAGAGAGGCAGGCAGAGAGAGAGAGAGAGGGAAGCAGGCTCCCCGCCAAGCAGAGAGGCCGATGTGGGGCTCCATCTCAGGACCCTGAGATCATGACCTGAGCCGAAGGCAGAGGCTTTAACCACTGAGCCACCCAGGCGCCCCCGGATCAATACACTTTTAACACTCAGCCTTTCTTCTGGAGGTTTTTTTTGTTTTTGTTTTTGTTTTTTTTAAAAATGCTTTAGATTCTCTCCCTCTGCCCACCCCCCAACACCCCTGCTTGCGCCCACTCCTTTGCACGCATGCGCACGCTCTTTCTCTCTTGCTCTCTCTTCTAAAAAACACTTTAAAAAAGTATGCTTTTACTGTTGTCGCTTGATAAATTCATTTTATTTTTATTTATCTATTTTTAAAGATTTTATTTATTTATTTGACACAGAGAGGGCACAAGAAGAGGGAACAGCAGGCAGAGGGAGAAGCAGGCCCCCCACTGAGCAAGGAGCCCAATGTAGAACTCGATCCTAGGACCCCGGGACCATGACCTAACCCAAAGGTGGCCACTTAACTGACTGAGCCACCCACGCACCCCTTATTTTTATTTTTTAAAAAAGATTTGATTTACTTGTCAGAGTGTGCACATGCAAGCAGGGGCAGTGACAGGCAGAGGGAGAAGCAGGAGGCATTCCTTGATATATCCATTTTAGAAATTATTTGTGGGCATCCGGCTATGATACTTATTAGTTTCTAGCCCCATCTCCCTCAGTTCTTTCCCAACATAATGCAATAAATTACTCTAAGATTTCCTGGGGCGCCTGGGTGGCTCAGTCAGTTGAACATCTGACTCTTAGAGTTCCGCTCGGGTCATGGTCTCAGGGTTGTGAGATACAGCCCCACATTGGGCTCTGTGCTCAGTGCAAAGTTGGCTTGTCCTCTTCCTCCCCCTCTGCCCTCTCTGCTCATACGCACAAGTTCTATCTAAAATAAGTAGATAGATAGATCAATAGATAGACAAATAAAATCTCTGAAAAAATTTCCTGTATATATGTTTCCTTGCTTACCAACTATTTGCTCTTTTTTACTGAAACATATTTGACATCGAACATTGTAAATGTAAGATTTATGACACCTTTTGATAAATTTATATATTGTAATGATTGCCATCGTCATTGTTTGCCTTTTAAAAATTTTCAGTTGTATTCCCTTTCTCCTTGCATTATCTGTGCTTTTTGCTTTTTTTAATTTTTGTTTTTTTATGAGATTTTATTGATTTACTTGAGAGAGAGTGAAATCGGGGGAGATCACAGAGGGAGAGGGAGAGGCAGACTCGCCTCTGAGCAGAGAGCCCAATGCAGAGCTCCATCCCAGGACCCTGAGATCATGACCTGAGCTGAAGGCAGATGCTGAGCCGACTGAGCCACCCAGATGCCCCCATTTTGTTTTTGTTTTTAATATTTTATCTATTCATTTGAGAGAGAGAAAGACAACGAGCATGATCGGGGTCATGGGCGAAGAGAAAAGCAGACTCCCTGACTAAGCCACCTGGGCTCCCCTCTGCTTCTTTAAGTTGTTCGAAATTACTGGGGGTAGCATCAGATCTCAAATTACCATTTTTTCCCCTGGGAAACCTCCTCCTTTGACCCCTCTGTCTTCTCTCTCCAGACTTGCCTGAGCCTCATCTGTCATCCCGGGTCTCCCTACTGTCCAGGATTGTATGTAGCCTCTGCTTCCTAGATTCAGTATGCTCCTTTTTTTTTTTTTAGTGGAGATGGATCATCTTAATGGCTTGTGGCATTGGACTATAGATACTGGAGAGATTTGTCCTGTTGGGAATATTCCTGCAATCAGGCAGGATGCCAGGAGCATGGGGCTAGTCGTTGGGCTAATGAACAAAACCTAGGTCTCTGTTGACAGCAGTTCACTGTCTGGTCTCGGAACCTTGAAACTCCTTGCTTGGCTCTCCCACCTGCCGTAGCACACACTCTTCTCTCCTTTGTGTTCACAAATGTTCTTCGTGGCTGTAAGTTAGTGCCTTCTCCATCTTCATATTTTCTTGCCCCACCCTTGTGATTTTTCACCCGGAATACTTAGGGCTTTGGGGATGACTTCTTACGATTTCACCTCAACAATTACTTGCTTATTTTATAACTTTTTAAACTTGAGTCCTGATGAGGCCTCACTGCTCTCATTGTGGTGAATAGTGTAGAAGTGGAATAAAGAAAAATGTATCGTCAGGGGCGCCTGAGTGGCTCAGTGGGTTAAGCCTCTGCCTTTGGCTCAGGTCATGATCCCAGGGTCCAGGGATCGAGTCCCCCATGAGCCCCACCTCGGGCTCCCTGCTCAGTGGGAGGCCTGCTTCTCCCTCTCCCACTCCCCCTGCTTGTGCTCCCACTCTCGCTGTCTCTGTCAAATAAATAAGATCTTAAAAAAAAAAAAAAAGAAAAATCGATCTTCAGATAGGAGGCTCTTTCTAAACAGAGAATCAACTTTACCTAAAAAGAAACCACAAAGGATTTCACCTGGACGAAAAATTGCCTTTGTTTATTCAGGTACTATGTTATAAATCACTTCTTTTTGTACCAGGGATGGAGAAAACTGAAGGAGATGGAACCAAATAATTAGCCTGGGGGTTAACTAAGGAGATTGAAACAAACTTTTAGGACTAAAACTGCCCCATCCTAAGTGTCTGATGTCATGTTGTTTTTCCTGCCAAACATAAAAATACAAAGATGTTCTTGCTTTCAAATTGTTTTATTGCCCACCAAATTGTATATGTTTGTTCCAGAAACTTAATCAGATATAATTATAAGAAGTTATAAAACAGACAAAGATAATTACAGTTCATAAATTTTACTAGTCTATAACAAGCTGCATTTGAATTTTTCTTTTTTTTAAGATTTTATTTATTCGAGAGAGAGAGAGAGTGCGAGCAGAGGAAGGGGCACAGGGAGGGAGAGAATCTCAAGCCGCCTCCACAATGAGCGCAGAGTCTCACATGGGGCTCAGTCTCACAACCCTGAGATTGAGACCCAGGCTGAAACCAAGGGTTCAAGGCTCAACCGACTGAGCCACCCAGGCGCCCCAGTGCATTTGAATTTTTTTTTTAAGATTTTATTTATTTATTTGACAGAGATCACAGGTAGAGAGAGAGGAAGGGAAGCAGGCTCTCTGCTGAGCAGAGATCGCAATGTGGGGCTCGATCCCAGGACCCCAGGATCATGACCTGAGCGGAAGGCAGAGGCTTTAACCCACTGAGCCACCCAGGCGCCCAGTACATTTGAATTTTGAGAGCTGCTGTTTCTTGCATAAATCTCAGCCTTCTATTGAAGTGTTTAGGAGTGAAGAATAATGATGCCTGCAACTTACTGTGAAATAAAGTAAGATGTATAAATGAGCAGATAGGGGATGGACTGACTGATTGGCATGTGATAAAGCAAATGTAGCATAATTGTAGAATCTAGATTAAGTATAGACGTCGTGGGGGCACTCAGCCACTTGTTCTTCCGACCACGACGACGTGTGAGGTGCTTTCAGGTTTTTTCTCAGACAACCCTGTGGAGGAGCCAAGCGAGACCGTGAAGGCTTCAAAAGGTTGAATGACAGGCTTATGGTCCCACAGCTAGTGGGAACTGAGCCAGACCCGGAATCCAGATCTACTAGTTCAGGAGAGGCTATGTGGTTCAGTAAAATAACACCCAGTTCCCATTCCTAATCATCTTTGGAACCCAGAGGTTCCAGTCCTTTGTTCACAGAGATACTTGTGTCCCCCAGGACCGCTCCTGGCATGCAGCTCTGCTTAGTCCCACCCAAGTCCTTATTCCTTCAATAGTCTGATCAAAAGTACGGCTAGCAGGTCAGAGTGGGTCAGAAAGACCCTCTTAACTACTGACACATACAAGCATACTCTAAAAACTTGACTGGAGATACTTGGCCTTGATTTCAAGACTAATGGCAGGTAATTTACTCTCTTAAACAAAAATGCCAGCATTATGTTTCCAGCTGCTGTGGCCCAAGAACACATCTTCATTCAGAAGCTGTAAAATCCCGACAACATGCAAGTATCTGAAGAGAAAAACACTGCAATCACTGATTCATAAAAGTTGGAGGGGGAAAAAAAACCCTTTAAGCTAAGCTGGACACTTCTGTGCACTCTGTGCGATGTGAGCATGGGGCAGGACAATTCCCCACCTGAAGCCATTGTTCTCCTCCCTGTGGTAATCTTCAGGACTTTAAGACCAAGAGTGCCAACAGTGGCTTGACGCTGCACGTGTTTCCTTGCCAGATGTCTCATCAACACTGGCTAAAAGAATCCTTAGGTGAACTTCCCCTACTGAGGATAGGCCCAAGGTGTCCCTTCTGTTCCAGGGGATACTCAGAATGTATATGGGCTCCTTTAATGGGTTCTTGCACTAAGGGACCCCATCTCTGAGGAACAGGAGAGACACAGACCAGAAAGCAGAATGCTCTGAGGGAGAGAACAGTCCAGGGAGAAAAGCCAGGTAGGTGATTTCCTGCAAAGAAACTCCCAAGTGGGACTTGGAAGTTGCTACTGCCCCTCGGAATAATTTGTTACTTAAACTATAACCCCCCGGAAGATTTTACTAGTTGCCAAGCATATTTAGATATGGCCTTAAGAAAAACATATACTGGCAACAGGTCTTTGGGGAGAAGGACGATACACGACCGTGAAGCTGGGCAGCTGGGGATGCCCGGCCCACCCAGGGCGGAAGGCCGCCCCTTCACAGAAGCCGGGCAGCCATGAACGCCCCGTCATCTCAGGGTGGAGTGAAATACCGCCTGCTTCCCTTTTCTGTTATCGCTCCTTTCTCTTGTCAGAAGTGCCGTTGTTTCTTAGATGTGTCCTTTGAATGTGCTTGGTTAACTATAAACTTTGTCCTCCTCCTTGCTTGTCCACAAGATGTGACTAATGTTTGACTTTCATCGGTCCTTCTGTTGGCTATTGTTTCTATCTAATAAAAGTGAGACTGTGGGGTTGCTCATGGCTTCGACTGTTGTCCTCTGCTCCCAATCTCTTGCAACTGACTTGTTTGTGCCTAATTCTTCTCCCGTCACCGACTGGAAGAAGTGGGAGCGAGAGCCTCAGAAAATGGGTTGAGCCTTCAGGTGGCCTTTCAGATTCCCTCCTCCTTCCGAAGGACCAGCTCAGTGCTCCCTTAACTCAGAGCTTTGTTTTCCTTAAATGCTTACTTCCTTTCCATTCATTCCTTTGCCCCAAATACGGAAACTTTGCCTTTTCCCTTCCAAAGAAAACAGGTCATCTCTGCGAGCTCTATCACCCACATTCTTGAAATATATCTGGAAAGCACCGGAAATGGACTGGGGGATCCTGGCCTCGCAAAACAAGGACTGGCTCCGAGAGCCCTACCGCAGGCCGCTGCCACCTCGGCCTCTTGCCAGAGCGATGGATCCACTGGTGGGCTTCCAAGGCATACTTGTGCTTAAAGCCCTTCCCACACTGTGGGCAGGGGAAGGGCCGGTTGTCAGAGTGAATGCGCTGGTGACTGAGGAGGAGAGAGGAGTAGGTGAACTGGTGGCCACAGTCTGCACAGGGGTAGGGCTTCTCGTCTGTATGGGTGCGCCTGTGGATGGCCAGCAGGGAGCTGTAGGCAAAACGGAGGCCGCAGCTGGGACAGCTGTAGGGCTTCTCGCCTGTGTGTTTGCGCTGGTGGATTGCTAGCAGGTAGGGGTAAGTGAAGCGACTTTTGCAGTTTGGGCATGGGTAGGGCTTCTCCCTGGTGTGAGCCCGTCTGTCGATGGCCAAGGAGCCCCTCTGGCGGAAACGTCGCCCACAGTCAGGGCACGAGTAGGGCTTTTCCCATGTGTGGATGAGCTGATGCTGGAGCAGGTACTTGTGCTGGGAGAAGCAGGCCTGGCACTGGTCACAGGGGAAGGGCCACTCCCCGGAGTGGACCCGCCTGTGGGTGGTCAGGAGGGAGGGGTAGCTGAAGTTGCGGCCACAGTCTGAGCAGGAGAAGGGTGATCTGCGGGTTGTAGTGTCCTTGAACCAAGGCTTGACTGGGCTCTGCCCAGAGTTCCAGCAGATCTCTGAGCAGGTGGTTCTGTGACCGGCAGCCGGTGGCCTGCTGCGTGGTGACCACTCCTCGAGAGACATTTCCTCACGCTCCATCCCTTTTTGCTTTGGACTCTTCATCAGTTCTTTCTCTTCACGCTCATCCCTGGATCCTGAGACGGGGGAAAGATAAAAGTTGAAACTCAGTAGCACGTTCCATACAGTGGCCTGCCCTGGGAGGCAGCATGAATTGTCTGAGCATATGGCAGTGTTCGAGACTGGGGCCTCATCAGGCCAGAAGTCCATCCTGGAGTAAATGAAAAATTCATCATCTGACTGGTGTTAACACGAAAGCTTTGAAAATGAGAGATAAATGGAGGTGTCAACAATATTGAACCGCTCCCTCCTCTGTCAGGCAATGAGGGTGGTGATGGACCCAGCCTTCATAGAGCTTACTGTCCAGAACCTGTTTATGATCCCTTCCCAAAATAGCCGTTAAATGATCTTCCTTGGTGCCTTCAAGGCCATCGCCAAAATGTCTACACTTGGGCTATACTCCAGGTTCCATGGGAAGACCTGGGAACAAGCATTTATTATGACACGGCTGCAGAGAAAACACGCTTTCTTGATGTTAAAATCTCTGGTGACTGATAGCATCATTACAGTGTGACCCACATCATACCCAAAAGGAACATTTCATTACACAACAAAAAACAAATTACAGTTGTGTTTCTCCTTTCGCTTGGCTGCCCTGGCAACTCAGGCGCTATTTTGCACTAAACTGGGGTTTCTCTGTATAACTAAGTGGTGCTGTAAGTCCCAATTTAGCGGTTCTACGAGCCATTTTGCAGTGAGACTAACTTTCTGGGGATGAAGTATAAAGAGACACGATGGGGCTTTGGAGGGGGCGGTGTGTACTGTGGATCCGAGTTGGGGCAAGGGCTTCTCAAAGGTCCCATCCTGGGTTTGAAGTGAAGTACCTGTTATCTTTCCCCTGTCTCTGATGACAGCTGCTGGGGTCTCACCCTCCGGATCCTGGGCCTCCGGATCCTGGGCCTCTGGGCTCCACGCCTCCACCTCTCATTCCACCCAAGAAATAAAAGCGGGTTTGGGGCCAGAAAATCCTGCGGAGAGGAAACATTGGGTTCTGCTGAGGACCCGAGAGGGGAGGATGAGGGTGCTCAGTTCCCACACTTCCAGCCCACTTGTTTCTGGGGACATTAGTCCCTCCTTCCCATGGATTACTGGGTCCTAGCTCGACCGCCGGGCCTCACCGGGCGCGCCCAGGTAGCCGTAAGTTTCCCGCATCACGTCCCGGTACAGGGCCCACTGCGCGGGCCGCAGACACCCCCACTCCTCCCGGGAGAAGTACACGGCCACGTCCGCGAAGCTCACGGCTCCGGGGCTGCTTTCTCCGGTCAGCCCGCTCCCGGCCTCCCCGGGTACATCCGCCAGGAGCGGCGCCATGGGAAAGCCCTTTAGTTTTACGCCAAGAGAGGCTTCCTATCCTCTGAAAAAAATTCCTTCAGGGTCTTAGCACTGCCCTTGACCAACATGGCGTCTCTCCGGCCTCAACCTCCCTTTCCTTTCCGGTCGCCTCTTACGTACCAAGGGGAAAACCAGAAAGGAGATTGGCTCCGCAGCGCTGCAAATCGTAGATGACGTGCGCTGATTGGACAGCGCCTAGCGGACCGGTGAAGAAGGAAGGCTGTAATTGGTTATGCTGGAGCGGCCTATTTGAAAGACTGAAGGGAAGGGAGCGGCTGGTCCGAAGGTGGAAGGCGCTGAGGGGTTAGGAGGCTCTCTTTTCACCTGCCTTATCCGAACGGGACCTAAAAAAGATGTTTTGACGGGTTGGAGCTACTCCCTTCTGCTACTCCGTGAGACCTCTTGCGAGCAGATGCAGATGTCCCGGGCTTGTAGGTGAGTAAAAGCCCACGGGCAAACGATTCTGGAGATGATGGAAGTGAGGGATGGCCGGTCCCCGCCTGCTGTGGGTGCTCAGGGCAAGGCTAGCCCCTGTGCCTACCAGTATTTGATTTGGCCCATGCCCCGACGTCACAGATGTCTTGGCTTTCACAGTTGCAGAAGCTGAGAAACGGAAGGCCCAGGTCACTGCTCACCGGCACCAGAGCCAGATTCAACGTTACTCTCTGGCTTCCGGGTTCCGCTAAGTGCTTCGCTAAGTGCTTGTACCCTGTCTCCGTCGGAAAACTTGTGTTTAAATTACAGCTCATAAGTACTAATAAAACTGGGAAACGAATCAGATCATCTCTTAATCTGTTTTCCAGACTTTTCCATCTAAGCAATATTTATAGGAGCAGCGAAGGAAAGTTCTAGAGCCGTAACACAAAAGCTCTCCATCCCTCCAGTGAAACCACTTTGAAGACATAGTATAGCTTTTCAGTTTATGTGGCTATGCATTCTATTTCATAATATAACCACATTCAATAGAATGCATAGATTTGCAAGTGTTGAACGCTGTTACACTATGGGGGGAGTGTAAGTTGGTACAACTACTTTGGAAAACTGGCAGTATTTACTAAAGCTGAATATATGCATACTTATGACCCAGCAATTCCACTCCTCCCTGTATACCCAACAGAAGTGCATAGGTATATTTACTGAAAGACGTGCTCAAACGGTCACAACAACACTAGCTGCAATAGCCAAAATCAGGAAACTACCCACAACAGTAGAAAAATGAATAAAAATATTGTGGAATATTCATGGGAATGCTATTCACAGAATACTATTCAGAAATGAGAATGAGTGATCTAGAACTACATGCATAATATGGATGAATCCTGCAGACACGCTGTTGAGCAAAAGAAGCCAGACACAAAATGATATGTAATATGAGATTCCACTTATATAAAATATAAAATCTGGCAAAACTCTCCAAGTTATTCTAATCCAAGCTTTTTGTTTGTAAAGTACTGATAATATTCTTTTTTTTTTTTTTTTTAAGATTTTACTTATTTGACAGAGAACAAAAGTAGAGGGAACAGCATGCAGAGGGAGAGTGAGAAGCAGGCTCCCTGCTGAGCAGAGAGCCCAATGCGGGGCTCAGTCACAGGACTCTGGGATCATGACCTGAGTCAAAGGCAGACACTTAACTAACAGAGCCACCCAGGCACCCCAGTATTCTGTTTCTTTTTTTTT